AAAGTTCTCTCTTGACTCGCTGGTTCCTACACCTGAGATCAATTTCTCTCACAAGGCTTACTCATGGAGATAGCACATACTTCTGAAATGTCAGTAAACTTCTTGCAGGCTACAGGACACTACAACCCAGAAGACACCCATCCTAATACTTGTTACTGTGAAAACCTCAAAACCATGTTTCCCTGTACTTAGTCTCATCAATTTTCCATGTATCTTAACTATAGAAATAAGATCACTCCAAACAGGCAAACAAACTGGAGTAACAGAACAAATGACTGAACTTTCAGTATTCCAGTGAATCAGGACAGCTATTAATTAATAATTTCTATAAAATACAAAAATAAATAACTTACTTTCAGATGGAGACATTATGCCATAACTTTTTATGGAAGTCATAAACTCTTAAAATAAACTGTAGAGAAGTTTATGCAATGATCAGAATAAGGCAACACACTGGCAACTTTCCTTTGCATGCAACTCAGTTCTAACTTATGTTGTTATGGGACTGAATAGTATGTAGTTTAGTATTTGCATTTGAATGGTCATGTGACTGCTGTCGAGAGCGTAACAGGCTACTTGCAACAGATAGAGAGTATGTTTCAGGTTCAAAAACAGGCGGATACTCCAAACCAGGATAATCAGGTGGTGGGTTAATTGGAGAAGGGGAAGAGGACAGAATGTGACGACTTGATTTTTTGCCAATCATTGATATTCCCATTGTTGGCTGAAAATAAACACACAATAGTAATAGTTGTAATAATATAAGGAACAACAATAATAATGATGATAATAACAGTCACTAATCCATGAGGCAGAAGAAACTCAACACAATATACTATACTAATATTAATGCTAATTCTGCATCAACTAAATGTAACACTGTCTACATATTAACTATTTTGTGACATGTTTTATTTTAAATATTAAGTATGTTGCACTAAGGTGGGTAGGGCAAAGTAGTGTTTGGGTGCCTGAACACTCACAACAGGGTGATCACTGGTTAACACATCAAACGTTAAGTATTATAAATCTGAGCTTGACTGTAATGTCACTGAAGTGCAACATCTCTTACCTTCAATTGGGACATACTGGGATCAACTTGACTGCCATATTCATCTGTCATCCATTCACATGCTGGTGGTGATACTGGTGAGCTTATTGAACTGTTGCTTGAGTCACTGTTACTGCTGCTTTTGGGGCCATGGTTTTTCTTATCCCTGAAGATGGCCTTATGCAATCGTGGGGACCCGAGTATTGTTTTGTGTTGGCTTCTGTGAGATTTATGAGACCCAGGTAGTTCCAGAAATTTATGTTTTTGGTGCTGATATTTTGTTGAGGAGAAGAAGTTCCGGAATTTGGAAGATTTTGATGGTGGAGAATCCTTTTCCTTATCTGATCCTGTTGGACTCCTGTTGTTGCCTAAATGCATCTCAAAGGCAAGTTTCATACGAGGTGCTTCGTCACTGGAGTGGACATTCCTAGAACCCGCTATGATCTGTGACACTGGCGGGGGTTCATACTGTGCTGCTGTTTTCAAACAATTTGTATTCAATGAACCATTGTCGGGTGTCAAATTTTTGTGGGAGCCCTGAAATGGTTTTCTAGTTATGTCATCATTCCGTCGCAAAGAACTGATCCATAGTTTTTCTGGTGAGCCATCCCTAAAATAAACATGAGAGTATATAATGAAGTCCTTTTGCACGCAATATGGATAACAAACACAAGGGTAAAATAGTTCTTAAACTCTATTTAAACTCTAAATGTTAAGCTAATGATATAATTGATCTCTGTCATGATGCCAAATATATGTAAGAGGTAAAAAGCATTATAAGAGATGTTTAGTTTATTCACTCTCATAATAAAAATTATTTCTTATATGTTCTTATTATGGTCTTAAATTTTTTTTTATATCCGTTCACTGTTAACATAAAGTCATATAATCCAGAGGTAATAAGTTTATGCTTTAGCATAAACAAGCCCTGCATTCTGCTTTTGTTTTATGCCAGGTAAGGAGGTAGACAGTGACATGGGTGATTTGTGAAATGAAGTCTCTGCTTGTCACCTGCACATTACTACCACGTAAACTAACAATCAAATTATGAAAAAAACTATGAAGAAATTTACTCCAAACTTACAAATAAAAACAAAATAATGAAAGAAAGTGAGGTTAAAAAAGTTATCAAACATTTGTAACAAGTAAAAAATGTACATAGAACCTATTTAGCCAGAAACTGAAAGCAAAACAAGTAACACATCAATAAAAAATAAGTAGTTCTTTTGAAATAGTGTATATCTGACTGTGTGGCTAAGCAACCTTCTAGCCCTTTCAGTCCTTACAGTCTGACATGAGAAAAATACAATTATCTTAGGAATGAATATTGCATAACAGCAAAGTTCTGTTTAATTATTGTAGAATTATACTATAGCATAAAGTCTGACAAAAAGGTTTGTCAGTAATTCTGGGGTCTTCTGCCAGGGTTCAATCCCTGACAGATGCAGAGGATTTTCTTATAGTCCCTGCGTCCAGACTGGCTATGGGGCCCACCAAGCTTCCTGTCCAAACAGCAATACAACATACAGTGGAATAATGCAGACTGCCAAGGTACATTCCAAAGCACACTTCAGGAGATGTTCAGCACCTTTTAATCTTATTGTCAATCTGCATTGTAGATTTGCTCTTACATGAAATACATAATTTATCTGTACAATTTGCAGAGACAATTAGTACTTCCATGTGAGCTGATGACTGTATATTTGTAAGTTTCAGTCACATTTCCATTTACAATTTTTTTCAGGGATTACTGGAGATACTTTAAAAATAGCAAAACAATCAAAATCATTAGGATAGTGATTAACAATCATGACTCAAGTACAGAGGTTATAAATGATTATTAGGTTATTTAAGATGCTGTTGCAATTGCAGAGGTTGTATAACTTTGAATGAGATGGAGATGATGAAACATGGCACAGATTTGGAAGCAGTTAATCACAGAATATGTGAAGATACTATCATAGAAATAAGTCAGGACAGCCAGTAACCAAGCCACAATATGAGCCAGCTATCTTCCAAACAGAAATGTAATGCATTAACAGTATGTTAACATACCTGATGCAGGAATAAAGTCCAGCCAGAAACGGCAACATGAATGAGAATGGTAAGTTACAAAGGATGTGAGAGGAAGTGGTGGTGGTTTACTTACTGTCTCGACATATTTCTCAAATGACCGGAAAACCCCATTAGGAATTTCGGTCTGGAAAAATGGATTTCTAAATGAAAGTTTAATTGAACAGCTCCGAAAATGAAGTGACGTCACTATGAAATTCGATATGTTGATACTCTACCTGTACTCTCTGCACTGACCATCTTGTGAAAAGTCACTACTGTTGTTCCGACACATCTTAGAGCTATTGAAACTTCCCTTTCTGGTCACAGATGGGGCTGGTGTGGAGCCTCCATGCCTTGATTTAATGGAAGAACAGGAACTGTTCTGAGAAGAGCCTGAAGTCTCCATGTTGCTTAGAGGATCTTGTGTGTACCCTGTGTATACTAATAAAAGATGTCTGTTAGAAGACACTATGTTCACATGAGTGCACCATCTTTAACTCTCTCTGTATAGCAGGAAATACTATCAATGCGCTCAACTTCTGGACACCACTGCAATATTCAGTCTTTGAAGTAATATAATTATGAACTACATGTGGAAACAGTATACTTTTCATTCTGAATTGGGTGATGCTTCTGCTGAAAGTTTACCTAGCTCTTTATCATATAGATGTGACTCACATGCAATAATGACCTAAATGCTTGTACCTTTGTTACTTAAGACTGCTTTCTCAAGTGCATGCGTTAGCACTGACGTCTGTTACACTCATGAATCATGTTCTGAGGTATGAAATCCCTTACACAATCTCCTGAAAAGTCCCCCAACTTCTACTCTCTCACCAAAAACCTGTTTCTCCTCTCAGAAAGCACTTCTAACAAAGATTGCAGTGCTAGCATTCAAATAAATAACACAGGTAGCAAGAAAATTATTTTGTTCTGTTTGACTGTTTTTTTTTCTGTGCCTCATATTACAAAAAGTATGGATATCTACTATTCTGCATTCTAAATGACAATCTCTCGGTTTAGATATTGGTTCAATACACTTCTGTGGGCACCTAACCACCATTTATAATATACCTATAGGAAACAAAGTTATAAACAAAACACTTAATGAAAAAACATCCAGAATGCAACCCTTTCATAACTAGGGGTACTCCTGTAATTCTCTGTTCTTTTAGCTAAGATCTGCCTTGCAGTTCTGTATCTGTTATTTCTAATGTACGTATAACCTGATATAACTACTGCATGAAGTCTAAATGTGTATCATTAAACAGATGCATATTTCTGGACACTTTCCTGTGTCTGTTAGTTAAAAGAACTAGTATGGGAATTAAGATTTTATCAAATGGACAAAAACAAATTAGGTTTTATACTTTCACCTGATGATGGAAATAGAGCCAGCTTCTGAAACAACGTATGTTTTTAACTAATACATAAATGACAGTGTCCAAGAATATGAATCATTTTACTGTATTAAGTGTTGTTTCTGGCCTTCTCCTTTAGAAATCTGAACACACCTTCACTGTTTCCTGCAGGCTGTAGTCTCTGTGTTGTTTTGCTATTCTGCTTCCTCTCCTCCTCCTGCCTCGACAACATAAACTCCTTCAATGTTACAAATCCTGATGTATCCTCTCTCTGCCTGTTTCTGCGGATTCCTAACTCTCGCAACCTTTCTGCTGCCAGTCGATAATCTGCCATATCTGATGGCAACTGCAGAGATGGATTTGATGAATGAACATGACGATCTCGGAAATCAGTTTTAAAATGCCTCTGCATTGGAAGAGGAAGTGGTTTGAACATACTTTCTCCTCTAACAGGTGTTAAGGATGGATGTCTTTCATCTTCATTACCTAACAATGGCTTTATGTCATGCGAAGTCTGACATTCTTTCTCTGATGTTGAGTTTAAAGTTGGCACACTCTCAGCACTTTGGTACAACAAGCCAGAACTTGATGGGATTATTCCAGTTAATTTTAGCACCTTCTGTTGTGGTGCTACATTACAAGCTTCATTACTGGGATGAACTGATGGATCTTGGACAGAAGATATTAAGTTACCAGTTCTTTGTACACATCCTTCTCCTGCTGCCTTATTTGGTTGCTTCTGTCCATCACTTATTGCTTTATTCAGTGGTGTGGGTGCAGGTCCATTTGGAACCTTCCGGTAACTGCGGAACTGTGAAGTCGGAACAGGAAGTCTGTTGCTCCTACTCCCAAGAAATGGCAAATATTTTCTATCTAGACTTGAAGCTGCTGCCACTGTTCCAGATATCTCCTGGTTTGTAGAAGAACCATTTTGCTCATTTGTTTTTCGACCAAGCTTGCGCAGGGAACCAAACTTTTTTTGTGATTCTTGACTGAAAGACAAAATGTATTTACTATCAGTAAACAACAATGCTTCACATTTGTATTTTTTATTGTGATATCCTTGGTTGTGATGCCATGTAGTCTTGCAGGTAGTTATCAACATTTAAAAAGCAGACAACAATCTAAATTTTTACTCCTAGGAAAATCTCAAATCCAACTTCTCATTTGTTATTTTCTATCCTACAAACAACAGTTACAAGAAGTAGAATACCATATTTATGTAAATATAAGTCACATGTGTATGTCACGACTGACTTTTAGGAGGAAAACAAATAAAATCCCATTCATAAGAAACAGAATAGTTTATAATTATTTTACCCTAAAGTACCAGTCAGATTTAAACAAATTTTAAGCTCGAAAGGCAATGTTTATAGCAAATTTATAATTCTATGTGCACTGTAACATATTTCTGCTGGAAAGACCATTAATATGAGAAATAAAGTAAAATAAGACTGACTGATAGGGCATGCATAAACTTTTGCTATTATTCATCAGAACAATATTGGTTCTTGTAACAAACTACTGGACTAATGCTCACTCTCAATATGCTGAGGGTATTTGCTTTCAGTATGCAAACTATGATACTACTTTTACGCTCCCTTATTGCTCCAGAAATGATACAGTTTCCCTGTGCAGATTATTTTGTACACACACTCTAAAGCAAGTTTTCATATCTTACTCTACTGTTAAACATCAATGTTAATGTGAACTTTCAAACAAAGCCATTATACCTCTTGTTACTCCACGTGGGGGAAGTAAAGACGGTGGTCCCATGTTGTAGATTTACGACAGATAAAAGAACCTTACGAGCATGAACGAGATTTTTGTAAGCAAAATTCGGTGGCCATTTCTCACCCACATCTCTCCTGGTTCCCTACTAAATGGCTCTGGCAGACAAACCAGGATTGAGCAGAAATTGTGCAGAGGCAGTGGGCTTGTCACTCACTACTCAAATGTACTCTACAAGACTAATAAGGACAAGTGTCTTAAGCAACTCTCCCAGAACGGGTCAATGGCCAATTCCTTGGAAATGAATGAAATGTTACTTCATGCAGTTTCAATCATTATTCTGTGAAACAATTCAAAAACCACAATGAAACACTTCCTAATCAACTGTGATAAAGACCGATTATCTAGCCATCCAATTAAAAGTCACACTCTACTTTTACAGCATGCAAATATGGGGAAAACATCCATCTTATATTTGCATATATACAGCATAAGATTTTCATAAAGTATTTACTGAACCACCTTTATATGCATTTATTTTGTTCTCTGGAGTAAGTTTTTGCAATAAAATGTTGTTTTGATTATGCATCGACTGAATATGAAAAACACAGTAACATTTACCTATACCATAAACTTGCAAACATTAAATCCTGAACTTTATAAAACCACCCAAAAAGATTAAGAGACAAAGCTCTTACTGCAAGCAGCTTGTTCAAACTTGAGTCACTTTTTGACATCTGTATTTGCATCAGGGAACAGAATGACTTACATATGTCATTACATAACAGAGTTTTAAAGAAACCTGTTCTTTTTGAAACACAGAAACAATGAGATAACATAATAAAAGTCAATGTAACCTTTTGGTTTCTGTTGCCAAGTTCTGGTGAGATCTAGAAGACTGCTTTTCATGTTGCTGTGAATTGTTGCTGTTAAGAAAACCAACAAATTTACTCATCTTGGGGCTTGGAAAACACGTCTCTGTTTCCATATCAGTTTCTGATTCTTCATCTGTTTCACTGAAAAACACAGCTGCAACAAACAAAAAATCAGACTAAGTCTGGTAATGAAAGTCACCTTACCACATAAAAGCATTGAGGAATGTAGAATATGATGCCACTCTAAGATGACTAGAGGTATCAATGATTCAAGTTAAAATTCAGAATTTCATGTTACATGACGTACACTATACTGATACTGAGTAGTATACATTTTCAGTTTTAAAATACTGCATGAAAAAAGAAAATTAAAGTAGACTTATTTTATATTAATTTTTGTTTTTACTTTCCATTTTACTGTTAAACAGTTTTGATTTATAAGAGTTAATTCTGCATAAGTTTTCACTCTATATACACAGGGCCAGAGAAATTGTCCAGTAAAAGCATGTTTCTCTTTAACAAAGTTCCAATGTCCACAGGTATTTCTGTAGATGAGGTAACTTTTAATGAGAAAGTTGTGTGTGTATGTGCAGCCATTAAAATATGGTATTTATGACCTTAGAAAGCATGATGGTTACTTTAAAATTCTGACTTTAGCATGGATATACTTGAATATTTTTATCTCTGCTAATCAAACATTCAAGACAATTCCCATTCCTGTAATTTTCCTATGGACTGGCACCCACACTGAAAACACTTTTGGTTCATGAATTCTTGGAGGTGGCATTCACAGCTAGCAGCAACCCTAGCGAAATTATTCTAAGAGTGATAGAAAGATAGTTTACCTTCAGACTCTTGTCCTGATTTGGTAAAATCCTGCTTAAAAGTAGCCAATGTTATATGATCCATCCATACTGACAGTTCATCCTCCGACTCAACAGCAAAGTAGAATACTGTACCTGTGGAAAGAAGAAAAAACATTAGCATTCTATTAAGTATTATAGTAACAGAACACTTTGATATCAATTACAAGCATTTGAAACTGAATTACTAACAAAAATATTTGAACTTAAAACTAAAGAAATTACACAAAAATATCTTATCATAATTAATTTTTAATACAATTATGGAAGAATAAAAAACAAATAAAACCACTGATAACACTGAGAAACAGTAGAAAAAAGTATAAAAAGTCAATAAAATGGAACAAATATGACATTACAGATTAAAAATAAACATAAAAAGAGGAAGGACATGAAAATTTAAAGAGATTATTAAAGCACTATGTTGGACATTGCCCATTTTCTGAGGAATATTTATTAATCCTTTGCGGTCTATGTCGGACTGAGTCTGACATTTAAATATCCGAGTTCCGGTCCAATGTCGGACTGAGTCCGCCACGTATTTTATGAATTTTTTACGTCATCTGGAGTCAAACTGAGGTCGGCAAACCTTTTCAGCATGTCATTCAAGCCTTCTTCTTTGTACTAGTTCTATCCTAATTTTTCTGGTAAGAATTTGTGAACCTTGTAATAGTGAAAGGAGGCAGGTCAGAAACGTTCGTTTTATTCTGACACTTGTCCAAAGAAGCCAGGATTCCACACCAAGTGTTTTGCCATACATTATATAGTGAAGGAATACCATCGTGTATTTAGTCATCATATTTACATGGAATAGAAGTATTTTATATCTGATAAAGTTATAAAATAAAATATCCCATCTTCCGAGTCAGAAATTATATTTTTTTAATTATTTTTGGCGCACAGAGCAATCTACCACTAACATGTGCATATTCTTTCATCTTCTTGACAAGCATTCTTTATGTGTAGTGATTTCGCTTACACTTCGCGTTGTTTTTCACTTTCCTGGTGTTGATCTTGGTCTTGAACTTTCGAACACAATTAGCTCGAAAGGAAGAACAACTCTGAGAATATGAAATCCAATTCTTATACATCGTATATCTGCATGCAATAAGAGATGTTTAGATGTCGCCAAAGTCATATCTACCGACTTGGTTTTGCTTTATTCTCTACCGAATGACAGGGAGCAGAAAGGCACCACTTATTACACATCTCACTAGTGACAGTGGTACAGTCAGTGAAAAATATTTCACATGGTCTGTATTCAAACAAGAGGAACTGTGATCCTCTCAGAACATATTTTCACTATATTTAGCAAAGTGTCTTCCGTTTTCTGCAAGTTAAAAAGAAAATCAAAACAGTTCATAATAGTAGTTGAATTTATACATCGTAGTGGTATTTAAATAGACCAGCAGAAAGCCGTAGTGTTATTTAAAAGGGACCGCAAAGGATTAAACACAACATTTAAAGAGTTGGCTCTACTGTCTTCAGGTGACTGGTTATTGTAATACTGACACGTTTTGATATTAGTAATGACAGTGATCAGGACTTAACCCTGGAACTTTCAAATGCCAGGCTACTACACTAACCAGCATTCTATAACAGTGTTCTTGTAATGAAGCAACACATCCTTGCTGTGCTTTACCCCTGGGGAAAGGACCCCCATATACATTGGAAAGGAGGTTGGGTGGGTGCCAATGCCAGTATGGATGAACAGGCTAGAAAAAAATTCCTTTACCCCTGCTGGGGATCAAACTTCGTAATGTCCAGTTCATAGTCGGACACTATACTGACTGAGCTACCATAGCTCTTTCAAATAAGTTGGTATTAAAATTCTGTTGGAGAAGTTTGAAGAATGATCCTAATATTTAACATACGATGCTTGTAACTGTTTATGTAATATGCAGTGTAGTTTGTTATGCAAAGAAACTGTTCTGTCTGTAACAGTGAAAAAGTTAAGACCAACATATCTGAAAACTTCAAACTTTCTAAACTAAGGTTAGGTTTTTGATATTGAGGTGAAGCTTTTGCGGCAACTGAAGTTGATGAAAGATTCTTGGGCTACAAGCCATGTTCAGCCCCCTGACGTGGCTTGTAGCCCAATAATCTTTCATTTAGATTAGGTTTCTTCCTCTTACCTGTATGATACACTTTGAAAGCGTACTTTCTCGATTTTACTTCATCTGCCAATGAAGCCGTGAAGCCAGGAAGGGAAATCATGATGTCTGCCTTTGTAGATTGTGGTGTCTTGAAGCCATAAAATACTGTGCCTTTCAGGACAGACCATGCCCTCTGCCACACAGCTCCTGCACCTCCAGATCTACACCGATGAAGCAGCCACCCCTCATGGTCTCCAACCCCCAAATCTCGTACACTAACGTTACGTTTCTCTGTAAAAATTGTTATTACTTCTTTTGCAACTGCTGTGATTATTAATCCTTATACAGTTTTTAACAATCTTCTGTGCCTTTAAAAACACACCTGATTATATGGAAACAGGAAGTAAAATGTGTATTTACTTTGTATGTGAACTCCTGCTGGAATAACTCATCATGCAAATGAAATTCCAAATATTATACAAGGTTGCAATTTTTACATTATGCTATACAGTGCTGTTTTGCATGCAAAATTTCACTGTGACTGCATAAGTTACTACTGTAAAACAACGTATAATTTCATCTGACAATCATAATGAACACACAAAAACTGATCAGTCTTGTAAGCATAATTAGTTTATTGTACTCACAAACTTTATAATTTAACAAGTAAACCTCAGAATTATTACAACCACCATAGATCAAGCATTATGTACTAACAGTGAACTTACTAGTAAGCAGCACATTCCTCTTCCTCAAACTTCGAGGACTAGGAAACGATGCATGTCCCCCACCAACAACAGAATTCTTGCTATTGGTATTTCTGCCAAGTGATCGTGCTGCCATAATTGCTCGATAGCCCATATTGTTTCCACCTTTGGAATGATCAGGTCTGGGAGGTGGTTCAGGCGGAGTAACACGTATCTTTACATGTGAAACACCTGTCTGAGGGCTGGGAATCACTGATTCATCTGCATATGTGTGTTGTTTATCTTCATTCTGTGGCTGTTTAACATTTACTAGAGGTACTGGTGCCTTCTGCCAAACTTTTGACCCTCTCTCAGTCGTAAAAAGATCTGATGTAGTGCATATCTGTTCAGACAATGGTGTTTCTAGTTCTTGAAATGAGCCTGCTAAATTGCTCTCCACCAGTATTTCAGATTCTTTATTGTCAGTATCTTCAAGAAATGGTGCATGCACAACATTAAGTGAACTTGTATATTCATTACTACAAACACATAATTGATTATTAGCTTTCAAGGAAATTTCATTTTTGTTTGTAATTGAATTTTCATGATATGAACCATCAGCTATCTTGTGAGAAGACAAATCTGTCTGTTCAACTGAACTTCTGATTTTACTCATTCTATTAACGTTACTGTGTTCTTTAAGACGATGCTGCAGCAAAGCAATATTTATTGTTTCCAGTATTTCACCAATTCTTTGAGTCTGTTTATCTTCAAGGCTATACAAATCACCATCATGAGTACTGACATCTGAGAATTCAGGATTTGTATTAATGGCAGTCTCAGATGGTTCTTCACTCTCTGATACTGGTTGACTTTGCTTCTCTATTTGGAAGGCTGAATGTGTGGAACTGTCCGATGTGGGGCTTGGAAGAGCACTGCTGTTTTCAGATACACGCCAATTTGTCCACTCTTCCATATGATATGCCTTAGAACATATGTCCAACCTTTGATCACAATCTGTAAGATCATATGCTGGAGTACTGTAGCTCTTGTCTAACCGTCCACGTTCTTTGTGAACATAACCTGTATTTTCATTAGGAACAGTAGTACTTTTACGTCTGTGAACCTCATCAACTTCTTCCACAGTGTGACATATATTGACAAAATCATTACGTAAATCATAACCTCCACCTTTAACTCTCAAAATATTCTCATCAGTTTCACTGTCAGGTACTGATTTATTCTGAAAACTGAAGCGTGTGCTTCTGTCCCTGGTATCATTCTGAATCTCATCATTATGATCTGATGCTGAGTGTAACTTGTCCACCAATATCTCCTGTACAGTACTTTTAGGAACATCATCTTCATCCAAAATACGCGCTGCAGTAACTTTATTACCAAGTCCTATTCTCACATTCAGGCAGGAGTCACTTGTCTTGTCATTACACCTCTCACTGCAACCAATGCCTTGATTTTCTTCTTTTTTAGGTATATAATTATCTGCATTATTATTTATGCACAATACACTGCCACTATGCAAAATTTCATTATCCCTTGCCTCATTCTGTAATTGGATGTGAAAATCTTCTTGATTCTGACTTGACAGTCTTTTATTATTCTGAACCTCTTTTCCTATTTCTTCTGCTCGTTCTTCATCTCTTCCAGGTGGGTCTTTCCCACTGAGAGTACTCCCTTTGATACTTTCCATACTGCTACCTGGAAGTTCATCACAGTCATCAACTATGTGTGTGTCATTACGGCTCTCTAGTATTCTTAACTTCTTTCCAGTCTTCATTCTGTTGCATGTATTTTCAATCCCTAGACAAGTTGTTGGCCTTGGAGGGGGCGAAACTGATAAATCATTTCCGAAACTAGCCGACTTATCTCGTAACTGATAAAGTTCATCCTTCCTCCCCTCTACATCTTCTCCCCCAGCAGAGGGACCAATGTCCTTCCACTGTCGTTCCAGACGAAGTTCTCGCCAAAACTGAAACCAAGTTTGAATTTTAGGATGAAGTACATTCAGTGTTCTTAGTTTTAATAGGCTCTTGAAGATAATATTAGATAATTATACAAAACCGCAGATTAAGAAGTCCTTATACTGACTTATATCATGATGGAATTTTCTTGCTACTGTCTCTTCTTAAATGATCAATAAACACTTCTGGAATGCCAGTGAAGTATATCTTGGGAAGACAAGAGATTCTGACCAATAAGGTGGCAAGTATTCCCCATGATCACAGTAATAAAATACAAAAATAAATTAAACTTATTTAATACTAGAAGATATTTCGAAGTGTCATTTTCACCCTGAACTGGTCATAAGTCAAATGGTCAGATTGGTGTAACCTGTAACAAGTCATTTGCAAAAATATACAGGCTTAGCTACCTGTTCAATGCTGACAGGTGGACGTTTGTTGGTTGGGCTAGCACCTGTAACTGTCGCCCTACGCTGCACTGTTACACGTGGTTTGGGTAAGTACAGTCTCATGCTGGTTGGGGATGTCTGCCCCTCATCTTGTACACCAGGCAGAAATGAATCATCATCATCATCATCATCATCATCATCTGAACTAGAGTTACTAGCAAGGGGCTCACACTCCATTACTGGTTGTGGGGCCATCTGCTTGGGCACACTTCTGTGAATATAGCAATCACTAATATTGTTACCAATTGCAACTAGTTTATAATATAATTTACCAATTTATATTTAAAAAATTAAAGTAATGGTACTTTAACAGAAACAATCCACACAATATAAAAAAATAAAATAAAATGATTAATCTACAGAACAGGCAATCGTACACAATTATAGACGTGAAATTACATCAAATGGAAAATAACATGACTCCATTATATGCAAGGGCAATTAGGCGATTCCTAAAAGAAAGGCAAGACTGAAGTAACAAAGAAAAAAAAGCTGTATAAAGTAGTGAACATGCCAGCAGACATATATGTATGTGAGACATCGCTGATAGAAAGAAACCATGACATATGAATGTATACAGTGGAAATTAAATTTCTTTGAGTAGAAGGATACATATTCAGAGACCACCATTTCCATGAACACACCCAAGTCAAATAACAACACTAAATAATGCTGGGAAAAGTGGGAAAAACATTTTCTTGGAACAAATAACTGTTGATTTCCCATTTTCCCCCCTTCTCTTAATAATGACCTGCTTCTGATCTACAGAAAACAATTTTTGTTACAGCTTGCATTCAACAACTGTTATTTATATTTCATTCATTACCATACACTGGCAGCAAAAATACTGTATTTACTGGGCGATTTAAAAAGATGGTCATCTTCTCGGATGCAGCAACACACATTCTGGTAGATACCGACAGAACTTTCAGAGGACATCATGCCCCTATCACCAGGGTGATTTACAAGACTACATGGTGCTACATCCTGGAAGACACCCATCTTTATACTCATCACCATGAAAAATCAAAAAAGGAAACTCAACTTTACCTTGGCAGCGGTATCTCAAAGTCAGGTATAGTAAGCAATTCAGGTCTGGGTGATGGAAGATTGTCATGCCATCTAGTGTATGGTGCTGCTCTCTTCTTACTGGGCAGCCTGTATGGTTTCATGTAGATCTGACCGTACACTTTAGTGTGATGTGGACGTTTTTTCAATGTCAGAAAAACATTAGTAGGGGATTCTTCAAACAGGGCCATAACTCTCTTTGTTTGCCAACCCACCTTTAATAGAAGAGTGTAAGACATTATATGCTTCTACAATATGGCTCAGGAGGAGTCTGCAAACTTCATGGGAACAGAAATCAATTTCTGAGTAATTAAAAAGTCCTGTTAATATGGGATAAGCTCAAAAATTTAAGGAAGCATGGTGGTTTAAAGTATGATAAGGATGCACCAAAAATAAGGGATTTTTTTAAAAAAATTCAAAGCAACTTCATTGTAAATTTGAAATAAAGTGTTATTTAATTTGTTCAATTAACTGGTTTTCATAAAAAAAATTTATTTGTAGTGTTCTGTCTGACGACAGGTCGATATGAACAGGATCCTTTCATCCTTTTCTCGGACTGGGACCTTTCATATACGTTCTAGGCAGATGATCCAGAAGTGGTTTGGCATTGCCTTCTTCTGTGTGTGAATGGAGTAATTGTTGGGATGCCACGGAGAAACCGGGGAAGCCCCCGGAGGAAAACTCCGTGTTGCCTAGACCACGGCCTTGCCCAACACAAGTTATAAATTCGGGCACCGCCGGGAATAGAACCCGAGACCCCAGGATTACAAGGCCAGCGTTCTAACCGCTAGACCACCGTGGCACGGTTTTTCATAAATTATGGATCAATAAAACAAGTCTTTCAGGATGCATTTGACATATCCTATATGGCCACTGGGTAATACCATTACATATTACTACAGTTTTCTGCAAATCAATTTTGCTATAAAATTTATAATAATGGTTTATGAATTGCTGTAATTATGATATGGACAAGTAAAATGAATCTATTAAATTCCATAGACATCTTGCTTTGGATAGTACATCCAGAACTACTATATTATGAAGTAAAAAATGGTAATCTCAACAGCACAATCACCCAAACTGATGCACTCCAAACCTGGTAAATGACCTGTATGGTTTTATCTTTGGGAATAAAATCCAGGAGTGCTGTATCACAAACAAAAATAATAACCTCTACATTGCAATATTATGTACTAACCACCTTCCACATTGTAAGATGCCAGTATGTGATGAAACATGTACAATGGTGAATGCTGTACTTACTACTGTCTGGTAGTTGACTTGTACAACTTCATCTCCTTCCTCAATTTTCCCACACTGGTGAGCAGGTGAGCTGAACTTGATCTCACCAATTTGATGTACACCATGGAAAGATGGTAAGATGAAAAAGCCCTACCGCAGTTGAGGAACTTACATTGTAACACAATCATATATCGTTTCTATAACGGTGATGAAAACTTCTACTCTACTTTCTGGACTATAAGATGAACCCAGATTTTAGATTTAACGTTTGAGAATGTCTATACTTTTAGACTAGAATATGTACAGATTTTAGGCAGCATATTCCAGGAAGGAAAGTGTGGCCACATTCAAGAAAATATAATTACTTTACTATATCAGTCCATATATACTCCATTATATGAACAACCTGGAGAAGACGGAGTTACGAAGAAAAAGATATAACTATGAAAAGGCAGATTTTAGAACACTGCATTTTACCACACATTCCTCTAGCACCAGAATGGGCCAGCAGATGGTCTTCAAGTTCAGTACATATAAACACTTATAACCTATATAGGCGCCCTTCCCATATAAACTATAACTTGAAAAGTAACTGCACTTTATATGAATTTGAAACACAAAATAATTATTTTCGTAATGGTTGCAATGATTTGGTTAAACTAAAGATATTTAGAGACAATATCAAACCTAATAATACTGTACAGGTTACACTTGCCAAAAGAGTGAATGACAACCAAGTGCTCTTCTGTGTCTTGAAACACAACCAATATGAGGAAGTTTGTGCAACATAGTTTATATAATTTATTTACATCAGTACTACTGATTCAATATCAATAAATTTAAATTTATCCAAATGATGTTAAATGTCATCCCAAATTACCTACTTTTATGGACACTTTTCATCAGAATTTTTTTTTTTTTTTGGGGGGGGGGGGGAATTTGATTCCACTAATGTGGTTTCAACAATTTTAACAAAGTGTGTGAATGTGTCAGTCTCCAGTTCATACATCTCAAAAAGCAAATAAAAATGGTGGGGGAGATCTTTTAATAATAACTCTACATGGTAATAAATTTTTGATACCATGAAAGGCAGGGAATTTCATGGTTAGCTGAGTGACTATTAAATCTCAAGGACTCTTGTCCACAGAAATATTTGACACCAAGGCCCTGGAATGTTGCCTGTGATACATGGCACACAGTTACACATATCCACCATGGGTCATATGAGGGTTAAAACTTTGCATACCGTGTAGTGTATTTGAATATAAAATAAGCAAACAAACTATTAACACTATAAAAAAGACACTAGTGTCTTTTTTAGCGTGTTAATAGTTTGTTTGTTTGCTTATTTTATATGTCATATGAGGGCTCATACCATGCTGAATGCAATGGAATAGTAAACTGTTTTTTTATAATTCTTCTCATAAAGAGTGAGGGGGGGGAGAGAAAAAAGAAAAAATCATTACTTACCAAATCATCTCCTGCTCGTTTCTTTAGAGTAGCCAGATCTAATGATGCAGGCTGTAGTATCAGCGGATCCACAATGTCCTGGATAATACTGTCAGCCAATCGAGCAAGTTCTTTACAACTTGTCCGAATCTCCTCCACAGGACGCTCTGCAAAACGATCCCTCTGCGCACATGTTGCTATTGCTAGACTGAGTTTCAACAGCTCACTTTTTCTGTCCTGATAATCAAGTTGTCCAGAGAAAGGAGACCTGGTTCAAAGCACAGCAGTTTTGTGTAATGGTACAGTATTATAAGAGAGTGAGCAGTTCGTTAACATATTATCCTTCCTAAGAAAAGGTACACTTATGATACCAGAATGTCCGTGAGAAAACAAATGGAAAATATGTCATATAGTGCGGCTGTTAAAATTCCACAACACTGAATGCTGTATAATGTACAGGGATTGATCAATTAGTGGTATAACTTCTACTCTCCTTTATTCATGAAGATATTCAAAGGACAGTAAGTTATTATAAATGAATTCATTCCAGAACCTCTTGTCACATTAGTAAAACTGGTAATACTTAACCTATCAAGCCAGCAGACAAGTGGTTTTACGGCTGTTATAACATTTGCAACATCTGCCAATGTCTGTGTGCTGACAGGCCGTGAATCAGTTTCCTGACAAAGTTCATTGTGTAGACTATGTGCACGGCACGATAACCTCAGGGCCAACAGCTGCAGATTCTCTCGATCTAGTTCATAGTGCTGGAATGGACAAAATATATAATTAAGATCTTCAGGACTCCAAACACTTGCAGTTATACTCTTAATAACCTCCATGATCTCTGCCTGCCAAGCATTATGAAGGAATCCATTTCTGAAGTGGTAGCTTACACAAATCAGACTACTTTTGAAATGACTGGATGGTCATAATTAAGATCTTCACCTTAATTGCAGGTCCACTGTAGGGACCATGAGTCTGCCATATTCCCAAAATATATGTAAGAAATTTGTACTTCGAACATTTCTGCAACAGGACCTTATCTCAAGACATCAAAAGCACAAAGTTTCTAACTGAGAATTTAGCACTATTGTTGTTACTGTTGTCATTGTCATTGTTGTTGTTGTTGCTGTTATTACTATTAACTTTTAAAGGAATACTGGTTGATATATATTTTAAATGTTTGCTTCTGGTTGCATATATCACTGCTGACAAACAACAACAACAACAAATTTCACTGCAAAGGACCACTAATGATGTGACTAAATGGTTAGGACTCCTGCTTTGAATTCAACCTTTAGTCTGAAGACAGGCTATCCTGACTGATGTTCTTTGTATATATTTCTTTCCTTCTACATGCCCAAAAGCCACCTTATTTTGACCTTAATTTAAATATAATATTTCACACACCCTATCTGCATCAAAGTTTTCTTCTGTGAATTTCAGTGTCTTACACATATTGGAGTCCCATGTGGGACATTTATATGGTGGTCAGATTTGTTCCTTTACATTATTTAATTCTGGTTTATGCAATAATGCTGTCAGTAGCACAGACTAAATTGCACTGAAAGACAGAATGATTAATAAAATATAAACAATATAGAAGGAAGTGGTCATGGTCTAATTCAAGGTACTATCATGGTATTTGCCTGGATAAACTGAGAGAAACCACGCTGCATTAGGTGTAAAATCATCTGACATGCTACAGCATAAGCCTTCATATAAATTTGTGTCTGGTAAAACAAAAATCACTAATTATTTTTACATCCCACTACACGCCTGTGCAGGTGCTTGGGGGGAGTGGAAAAATCGTCTGCCCACGTTGGGGATCGAACCCCAGTCATCCAGCCCGTAGCTAGTCACTATACTGACTGAGCTATCTTGGCTCATAAAGCACTAATACTGAAGCATTAAACAAAAATACATTTTAAACTCTAATGAAGTAAATTTGGTTTCCAGACTGTACAAACAAGTGAACATAACTGATTTAATATGTTTCTACTTACAAAATTCCTCAAATGTTCCACAGCTTCCAATATTAATTCTTGATGTCCTAATTTGTGAACACCTAAGTGGTCAAGATCATCTGGCCGAAGGTTCAGAAGCTGCTGACCACTAACTTCATTATTTAGAAATGAATGTATGTATAAAAAAACAGCACTGTCTAAGCCTGTATGAAAGCAAAGAAAACAAATTTTAATATGACATATTATTAGCATTGTAGCGTTCTGTATTTTGTTAAAACAATCTGCAAGACAAAAATATACACTCTAAATAATTAACCTCATGTTTGGGAGGAATATTGATATCAGAGGCAACTGAGAAAAAAATTAGATGTTCTCAGGCATGTAAATCAAATACAGTCAAACCCTGATGCAGTGCTTCTTTATATACCACCTTCACACAGTATCCATGAAAGCCTTGGAAGACAAATTCCCAATGCAATTTGAAAGGAAATTCCCAATAAAATGCCACCTCTGCTAGCCACCACCTGTGACAATATGTATCATTGAGCATTATAATCAGGTCCAATGGCATTTTCTTTCCACTGGCTATACAAACAATTCCCTGGAATATTCAGTCATAAACATACTTTTCACAAACAACTGTGTTAACAAAGAAAACATACTTAGATAAGAAACTACCTACAGAAACTTATGGATGGCATCAATGATGTAAATGGTAACACTTAAAATCCAAGCAGTTACAGTAAAAGAACCTGATACTGGATGGGTAACTGATTTTAAAATGGAAACATTATCCAGACTAAACTGTATGCAGTTACCAGGCAATATTGCAAGAAAATTGGCAGAATAATTACACATCCTTCCCTTTTCTGTTTGATAGGGCAGTGGACTCTTCCTTTATGGAAATGTTTTCTGCATACTTTTGAGTAACTAACATGTAAATACACTTCAGTTTGAATACAACTGCCAGTCTTAAACATAATCAGCTGCATTCTACTGCCATGGAATCAAGGGTAATGTCAAGCGTTAGGGAAAAGAAAGTGTGTCTACAAGAAATGACATCCTGGTACAAGCCATCAAAATATTACCAACTATTTATCTTTCCATTTATGGGGTAAACCCATCAGCCAGAGCAGTGCTGGAAACATTCTCAAAAAGCAGGAAGAAAAAAAATTCAATTTACCGCCACCTCAATTTAATGCCAATATTTGAGATGGATAAAGTGCGGTACTCTAATGAGATGTAACTGTACTCATCATTTCATACAAGATATTTTGGAAAATAAGTGCAAATATTTCATTTACAAAGTTTCTGTAGTAACAGGAACACTGAACATAACTTCAAACATTTATTAAAAAAGTTGTCAGTGGAACCACGGTTCCGGAGAATTTGACATAAATACGTCTATACGGCAAGGAATTTTATATATTGGCTTTATTCTAAATATTTTCTTTATACACGCTTTACAGTTGATTAAAATTTGAATAAGACATTACTGCCTACCTTGAATTAGTTACGCTAAAGATGGGTCTGTGGTAGCTGAAATATGTTATAAAATTTGTACAAGTCATGCTGTATTGTGATCAGCCTGTGACATCACAGGGACTGTTCAGTACTGCATTCTGCATATAAAAAGTGATAGTGGAACCACGGTTCCGGAGAATCTGACGTAAATACGTCTATATGGAAAGGAAGTTTATATATTGGCTTTATTCTAAATATTTCCTTTATACATGCTTTACAATTGAGATAAGTTTGATTAAGACTTTGCTTATTTAACTTGAATTAGTTACGCTTAAGATGGGTCTGTGGTAGCTGAATATAATGTAAAATAATGTAATGTAATGAAATATAATATAAGGTAAGTTAAGGTAAGGTAATGTAATGTAAGGTAAGATATTGTAATGAAATGTTTTATAGGTAACAATAACAATAACAATTGACGTTTCCTAGGTAACATAACAATTAGGTAACAATAATGTTGAGTAAACTGGTAACGTTTCATTGGTAACAATAATGTCGAGAAAATAATTGACGTTTCCTAGATAACAATAACAATTGAAGTTTCCTAGGTAACATAACAATGCAGTTACACATTTTCTTTCTACTTTTTGCCGAATGACACTGACCCTAAATTATAGACGTATTTACGTCAAAACTGAAAACAAAATGTACAAATGGGTTAGAGAGAATTATGCTGAAAATGGTATTACAAGCAAAGTTTCGCCAGCGTATTCAGACTACTGACAGGTTTTTAAGCCCCAAGACTTCACTGTCCCTGACATAGAATCGCCTGTCATACGTCATTCTTCTCCCAGATTAGGGTGTGACAGGAAACACAGATTTTACAATCAAATTAATAAGCATTAATTGCTATACAAAATGTCTTACACGAAGCAATAATAAGAATAAACGTCACAGTTTCACCAGAACTGATATAAGAATGATGTGTTACCTTTCAGCCATTCAGTGACTTGTTCTGGTTTCCATTCTGCTACATTCACATACGCCATTTTCTGCTACCAATTTCGATGAATGAAAGTCACTGCCTCATTGATGTCGTGCTATGTGACAATTGTAAAAAGTTACGTTACATGGCCATTTCGATCACCAGGATTGAGAGTATGTTACTGTTTCTGTATAGCCTACAGTTTGTCGCTAAGGGGCTACCGCACACGTAAGACAAGCAGTCAGACGACTGTTTCGTCGTTCACACAAAGCCCTTAAGAACATATATAGTTGTGCACACTGTTACGATACGACTGGCAGTCGGTTACCTCTACTGACAGCCCCAGATTTTTCTGTCCACCAACTGTCTCGTTGGCCCTTCGAATTATATGAAAGCGCGCAGACGAACGACCTTTCAGTCGTTCTGCCTTTCATTTCGTGAACATTTGCAGACAGTAGACGATTGTCAAACATGTTTTTTGTTGAAACTGCTATAGTATGTGCACTTGTGATTCGC